TAACTGTTACGTAAGAAACAACTGTCATTGCGGAAACCGTACGTAATGGATGTGTATATCACGTAACAGTTGTAAAATGTCAGTACGGAAACCTTATGTAATTGAAGCTTCTTTTACGTAATAAATATTAACCTTGCATTACATAAACTGTGAGGTTATTACGGAAGTCTTAAGTAACACTTCTGATTTGATTGTTACATAATTGAAATTGTCATTACATAAGTAATATTTAAACTTAAATTTAAGTAAAATATTAATAATGATGTTTGTTTATTATTTAATAAATAATTGAAAATGGATGAAATGGACCAACCTTCCACGATTTTTATTCAAAATATTATGTATTCTTTTTTGTAAGAGTATTTAAAATATTGTAATTTTTCTGCAACAAAATATTCTAATTTAAATTACAAAGATGGTTGCTTGAGCGTTAAAAGCCTCCCATTATCAATCGGCCCAGGCCAATAAGAGTGCAACTTAACAAAGTGCACGGGCAGTCGGCCGTTTGCTCCGGTAGCCCGTTTTTTGTATTTTCTTTTTATTCTTTAATCAATGGTCCAAAATGAATTTAATTTATTTTAACTGTTTAGATCTATACAAGTTACCTACCTTGAAATTATACTCAAATTACTACAGGAGGTCCCAACAAAATTACAAAAACGAAAGGCAGCGACCATTCCTCTTTTGCCCTTTATTTATTTTCTTTCTCCATCGTCTGGAAACCAGCTCCTCCGTAGGTTGAAGTCACCACCTGGCTGCCATCATCATATCACGACCGTTACATCATCATCACGCAAATACCAAATACATCCTCAGTCAGAATCGCCACCGCCATCATTGCTCCTGTCTCCGTCGAAGCATAACTAGCATTGCCCCTGCCCAGTGACGTAGCCAGAATTTTATTTAAGGGGGTGCCATTAAAAATTTACATATGCAGTTTTCTGTTTCATATTATGAAATTATCCTAAAACTAGATGAATCGGTCAAACTATAAAGATTCCACACTTAATGTATCCCATGAAATAATCATTCTAAAGTTTAATTCACTTGCTGCGAAAGGCTGGTCAATCATTTCACTGCATAAAATGCTATCAACTTGTGCATTGACAACTAGCAGTAGCAAATCAAATCAATATTCACAATCAAATACATTGATGAGAACTAATTTTCTCTTCTGACTATCGTTGTTATAAAAATTTAAGGGTTATAGGTATAGTATGCCCCTCTACTATGTCGTTTTATCAAACATGCCCCTCTACTATTTTTTACATCAAACATGCCCTTGTACTTTAGAATAATGATCAAACATGCCCTTCTGTTAATATTTTCATCCAAAAAAGTCAATCATGGTCGTACCTTGGTTTGGGCGACACAAATGTCTAAAATATCCTTGGTAATTTCACTTTAAAATTTTTTGAGTTCTTTTGTAGAGCCAAATACCTCTAATAATTTCACTTTAACGAGACCTAGAAAAATAAAATGGGGAACAAAACTGACATTTTCGCTCTCATTTGCCGATGTCGGGTCATCTACATCTCGGTTCAACCATGGTTGGCGAGTTTTTAATGGAAATTTTAATAGAAGGGCATGTTTGATCATTTTTCCAAAGTACAAGGGCATGTTTGATATAAAAAATAGTCTAGGGGCATGTTTGATAAAACTACATAATAGAGGGGCATATTATACCTATAACCCAAAATTTAATGATTTCCTCTAATAGTTTGCACGTCTTATCCATCTTGATAAACTAGAATATAGAAAGGTATAAATTAGTAGATAAAATTAATTTATATAGTTTTTTGTGGTTTAACGATATAATATTTGACAATTGACATTGAAATTAAGGATTTAAAAATCATTATTAACATACTAGTATTATTAATTTGTTGTGCTTTTCTCCAAGCTAAGGGGATGCCATGGAACCCCCTTATTTGCCTATGGCTCCGCCCCTGCCCCTGCCGCCGCCGCCACAACGACCACACACTCGGCCATCGCGCACTCAGATCCCGAGTTACTTGTTAGTCGGGATCACCACCGCTAAAAATCTCTTGCTGCCGTCCGACATAAAAAGCATCATTGCGCTCAGATCCTGATACCTAGTCATTCAGAATCACCACCGCCATCATCGCTCTTGTCGAGGCTAGGGATGGCAATTACCCACCCATGGGTAATTATACCCAAACCCAAGTAGACCCATTGATAATGGGTTGGGTATGGGTGAAGTGCATATGGGTTTGGGTGTTTGTAGATAGGTTGGGTACGTGTATGAATATTGCTTTTATAATCTAAATGGGTATGGGTTCGATATGGATATCCATTTACTTGAGTGTGTATTAACTACACATACAAAAATTGGACCTATTTGTAAAACTTGAAAATTTTAGGTACCAAAATGCAAGACCAAAAAAATTGAGGTACCAAAACGTAATTTCCATCGATATTTTAGGGACTTATATGCAAAAAAATTAGGTTCTAAATATGTATATCTATTAAGTTTAGGTACTAAACTGCAATTTGCATTTGGGCATGGGTACAAACCCAAATCCATTTGTTAAAGACCCAACCCAACCCAACCCAAGTAAATGGGTATGGGTAGGGGTGAAAATTGGGGTGGGTGTGGTTACCCGCCCCATATTTTGCGGGTACCCACACCCACAAATTTACAATTATGATACCCACAACCCGCACCGCAGTGGTTAGTGGGTAACCACTACCAGTGGCGGACGTAGGATTGTTGGAGAGGTGTGTCGTCGCTAACATAGAATAATAATTAAATAAAAAAATTAAGTAGAAATTAAAAGAAATTAATTTATGAAGTTCACAATGTCATTTTACAACGAATCACGACGACTTTTCATCTGCTGAAATGTCTCTAAAATACATTCATTACTTATGTTGCAAAGCAAATGTTTTTCAATATACACAACTTAACAATCATTTATAAACAATGATATTATACTCTAACCCCCAATGTGTGAACCGCAATCCCCAATGCACTAACCTAACATAAGATTCATTTAATCTTGAAAAATGAAAATCAATGATTCTGATTCGTTGAAATTATTGTTGAGTTTCATTTTAAGATTGACCAAATTTTGCAGTTTGGGTTAGAAAATTAGGGATTGGGGTTCACCCATTAGAGATTAGGATATAGGATCATGCCCCAAAGTCCGGTTAATTATTTATCTAAATAGCAAAACCCAATTGGCGTACGGTGGTCGGACGTACGCTAGCTTGAACTTATATTTATATATTTTGATAACTTATGACAATAAATTTCCACAAACACAATGGGGTTGTGTCGGATACAATGATCAGAGGTGTGTCGGAAATCTCGAGATCAAAATTTTAGTATCGACGAATTAGGGGTCTTTCACAAAATTTTCGGGAGGAGGAGTGTCAGATGACACACATCCCTTGTGCCTAGGTCCGCCCCTGACCACTACCCACTGTGGGTTTGTACGGGTTGGGTGTGGTTACCCGCAAAAATCCATCTTTGCAAGCATAGAGTTCTAGTCGCCACTAACGTATTTGTTGTTCGTAACTAGACTATAGGGATATACACTTGTGTTGTTCCTGGAGATACAATTTTGTAAATCGATCTTACTCAACATGAAGATTTTTTTCTTTTTGAGTTTGGTATTCAACTTTTGTGCCAGAGAGCTATGATTTCATATTTCCCCGACTAGGGGTGAAATATGATAATTAAATATGATCTTGTATTTTTTTCACACAAAAGCAAAAACATATTGATAAAAGTTACAAAAGGTGTTCACTTTTAATGAATTGATTATTCTCCATTCTATCGATTATAGTGATTTATAAACTAAAAAATTCTTACATAAAACTGATTAGGTGTGTCTTTTTTATTTGGTGGCTACTTTAATTTTTATCCTCTCACTTTTCACATACTATTCTATTATAAAGTTAATTCAATAAATAAATATAATTAGTGTGGTTATTGTGGATTTTGTGGGTTAACCGCGGTGGGTAGTGGATAACCACTCACCACAAAAATCGTTATTTTACTACCCACAACTTGTGGGTATGGTTACCCATAATAGGTGCGGGTTGGTGCGGTTTGCGGATTATCCACAACCCTCAACCCAAACTTCCACCCCTAGGTATGAGTACAAACCCATCAAGCTCTACCCATATCAATCTATTTGGATATCATACCCAATCCAATTGGGTTGGATAGTAAAATACCCATGGGTATGGGTAGAATTGTCATCCCTAGTCACAGCCCCAAGTGTAACTGTATGGCAAAGAATATGACTTTGCTGTGAAATATTAATTAATTAGTGTTGACTTTCACTTCCTGCCGTCGATTAGTGGAACCCCAAGGAAGGGAAGTAGGGTTTTTTAGAAACAAATAAATTTGGTTTCCGTTGATTATTAAAAGTTATTATAATAATGAATTGAAGTTAAACATAGGTTTAACCATATATTACTGGTTGAACCATATTTGGTTAAGTTTGTGTTTTAATCAATGACGGTCATCAAACACATCATATCCAACGGCTAAAATGATGGCGGCACTAGTGCCGCGCCAGCACCACAGAAATACCCTAACATTAACACAAAATCAACCTAACAACTCAATGTCAAGCACGCACCATTAGTAACCCTAGAAGATAAACAAAAACCCTCGAGAAAGGAGAATACATTTTTTGTGAAGGGTATTAGAGTAAAACTGTAAAACTCCCTTTTGGTGTGCATGAAAGATAATGAAAAATAATTATTTCATAATAAATGAATAAATAAAGAATTGAATTCGAAATTGTATTAGGGTAGTTTGGATGAGTTGTCTCAAAACAATTGGGATTGTCTCTAAATCAGTAAATCGAACAGTTGGAAATTTTCCCAACTAAATTAATTTATACAAGTGTTGCAAACGAATCAGTTTAATCGGATTGTGTTAAAACAATTTTGGCACAGACTCACATTGATCAATTATCATTGCTCATCCAAACTAAGATTTTTCGGGTGAGTTGGTTGGATTTGGGGTTGTTTTATTGGTCCACCCAGTGCTCCTGTCCTGTCAAATAAAAATAGGACCAGAAATTAGCGCGGGATTCCAAACAACAAACGGGAACAGAAGAGAAATTTCAGATAATCAGATCCCCAAAATAACCTCTCCGCCGCTATCCCTCCTCCTCCTCCATCCCAGAGATCTCTGACCAACCGGTCGAAAGGTCGGCTCCGGCCACAATGGCGAAGCTCGAACCTCTGGACAACGAGCCCACGTCGGACTATGACAAAGACAGGATGGCGAAGAAGAAGAAGGATAGGAATCATGGGTCCACCAAATTCTTCGTCTTCGTCGATTACTTGTTCCTTTGCATCTTTCTCGGCTTCCTTTCCTTCATCATCTTCAGGATCGCTGCTGGGTCATTTTCCTCATGGCTAATTTATCAGTTTCCGAGATTTGCTTTCTGGACTTATTAGCCATAATTATTCAGACTGTCTCTCGGGTCTGGTTTAGAGATTTGTGATACCGAAGCTGTAGAATGTAACATTCACACTTTTGGAGAAATTCACTGTTGTTGCTGTTGTGTTCGTATACTGATTAACTGTCAATTTTGGATTTAACTAAACGAACTTGTTCTTTTACTTTTATCGACTGCTAGAGGATTGGATAGATTGCTATTTTTTCATCCATATCAGTTAGCTTGTGCTTAGGGAACCCTAGTTATCCATGGCTGCAGAATCTAGTCTAGATGAATCACATTAGCAAGAAAGCAACAGCTTCATCGTCATACTAGATAGGAAATTCAGGGCATTCATCTGGTGTTTATGAAGAAACCAGGACAAACTCAAGCACTCAATCATCTAAAAAAACATTGCAGCAGGAATAGCTGGTCAAGGACGAGCAGAAGCAGCACCCCTTTGACTGTGAGGGTGAGGGTATGAGACCTCAAACCCAGGGTTCGGCACAAATGTGTCATCGGCACCTGGAATGTAGTTGCGGCCTGCGGGGGGCAGTGTATGGCTTGAAAGAAGGAATGCGGATCGATGGAGGCAACAGAACAGAGTTTCGATCCCTCGAACAGTGGGGCTTTCGGCTAGGAAGAAGTTGGGCTGCTTCACGTCTTCCTTAACAGGGCGCCCTGCAAGTACTTGACTGCAGGATACAATGAGCAGGATAAGGAAAGCGAGAATGGGAGTTTTGAAAGCCATGTTGTTAGCTAAGAAAGAAACCGGGTCTACTTTGAGGCTTTTTGGGCTTTGTGGTGATGAATTGAGGAGATGGGGGTTTTCTGATCCTCCTTTAAATACTCAGAATCGCCATCTAGTTTCGTCAGCTTAGCGGCTGCTATTTATATTGATCACTGTGTTGCATATGAATATACATGTTTAGATCATTAGATGTTTTGGCGGAGAAGTAGATGGAGGTATGTCTGTACTGTACGTGAAGAATATCCATTTAACGTTGTTTCTGTTAGGTAAAATCTGTTCGGTGATTTATTAAGGAGTTGTGCTTTCCAGTGAAAGGGTAAAGCCATTTCGGGTTTCTTTGATTTGGTTCCTGGCCAAAAATGGAAGGTCTGATTGTAGGAGTTCTGCATGTTTGCGAATTTTGCTAGGTTCCTTGTGCGGGTTGGCGCACAGATATCTGTTATGCCGTTGGATCGGGTCCAAGATAAAGTGAATAACCCTTGGTTATTCATAGGTTTGTTAATGAACTAAGCCGCTTATGAACCGCTCGCTTTTAGAAAAACTTGTTTGACACTCGACTCGTTTTAACTTAGCCGGTTCGCGAACAAACTCGTTAACTAAACGAGTCAAACTCGAGTCATGCTATTGTTCAGCTCAAAGGCTCGCGAACAAGCTCGTTTGTTTACCCATAAAAATTAACTTTGTACCACATCGGTTAAAAATAAGGAATTAAATGACTTTATAAGGCCATTTTTAATTATAAATGTTTAATCAATTAAGTGAGCCACGTGGATTGGATTTTTGGGCCCCTTACCCCATGTTATCGTGCACGCCACTCTAACCCCGCCACCGAAATTTGACTAAGCGGTGGAGTCACCCTAGGACGTGGCAAGGGTGACAACCATATCGCCACCCCCAAGACGTGGTAAGGGGGTGGGCACCATCTCGCCACCCCCAGGACATGGCAAGGGGGTAAGGGGGTGGACATCGTACCGCCACCCACATGACACGATGAGGGTGGCAAGGAGCACCCCCCATGAAGTGGTCTGGGGAACACCAACATACCACCCCCATGGTATCATCAGGGGGTGGGGGTCACCAACGTCGGCTCCCATGAGGATGATATAGTGGTGGGATGATCCATATGACCCCATGGGGGATGCCCATAATGGTATGGTGAGGGGGTCATGTGAGCACGTGGTATCTTTACTCTACTAATAGTGAAGTATTTTTCGTCATTTTTAATTCATGTGATTCAAATACCCACCCATATGTGGTACATGGTATTCTCCTTCATGCCTTAGCCATTTTTACTCTATGGATAAGCAAAACTATGGAGGAGATGCCAAGAGCAGAGGTTGAGGTTTCAAGAGGAGTGGGTCAAGACTGAAGAGGACCCCACATCCAACATCAGGGTAACCGTCATAGCAGTTGAGAGGGTAACCGTCCCTTCACGTCAGCAGAGCAGTTTCTTGGGCAGTTACTTCTGATGGCTATAGATAGAAGGTGAAGATGACAGAGAAGGGGGTTCGCCAAAATGACACCAGACAACACAATGTCAAATTTTATCCTTTTATCTTTACCTTTTCCTCTGCAAATGTAGTCATAGCAATAGTTGTAGTTTTGGAGCTTTCACTGAACCTCCATAGGAGTAGAGTTAATGTAATTTAGTTTAGTTCGTATATCATCAAGACATCGAACACCCTTGTTTGAACTTTGTTCAAAGAGGTGCAGACCGTGTTTGTTAATCGTTTGTTTGGAAGTCAAAGGTGCAAAATTCAATTCTGTTCATCTAGATTTTCTCGTCGGGAAAACAATCAATGGCTCACCTTGTTTTAAAAAATAAAAATATTAAAGGAGAACGAAAAATAAAAATACTAAGAGACAAATAACATTGATACTTGTTTAGCTGTAGGTCTTTTAATTGGAGTGGAAGTGGGCTGCCAAAAATAATTGATACTTGTTTTCATTAAATGTGTGGGCTTAAATTTGGAAAAGATTAAAAAATACGCATGTTTTTAAAAAAAATTCACAAAATAAACACACTCAAAAAAAATATCAATCTACACATGTTTGGGCATCACTGCGGTTGACGAACTCGGTGAACACATGCTCCGACGCACCACTGCTGTGGAGGAACGCGGTGATGGTTCACTGCGGTATAGGAGAGCGGTGAAGGCTTCACCAAGGTCGAGAAACACGGTGAAGGCTTGACCTACGTTGAAATTTCAAACGAACATAACTTTGCGCTAGGTTATTCGATCGTAGCGAATTTTTTTATGTTTCGCATAAATTTCGAGATATTGCAAGTCGCAAGCGGTTTGGTCCCGCCTTCATCCCCGAAAAACGTCGTTTGCTACCTCGAACAAGTAATTTTTCGATTGTTTCAAACTATGGACGACCATAAATTTGTGCTCCGCAACCCGAATGTCATGAATATTTTATTCGCATAAGTTTTTAAGCACTACAACTTTTAGTGGGAGAGAATTCTCAACAGAAGAAATATTTGGGGATATACAGGGTTTGGAAATAACTTCGCATTTAGTTTTCACAAATCCACCTACATTTCGAAATTATGGCTATGATAAAAGTTGTAGTCCTTAATAAGTTATGTGAAATCAAAAAAATTCATGACGTTCGGATTGCGGAGTACAAAGTTATGACCGTCCAAAGTTTGAGGAAATCGAAAAATTGCTCGTTCGTGGTATCAAACGACGTTTTTTCATGAAGTAGGCGGGACCAAACCGCCTATGGCGTTTGCGGTTTGCAAGATCTCAAAATTTATGCGGAATCAAATAATTTTCTCTACCGAGCTCAAAGTTACGTTCGTTTGAAGTTTCAATGCAGGTCAGGCCTTCATCGCGGTCAGGAAACGCGGTGAAGCCTTCACCGTCTTCCTCTGCCGCAGTGATGCAATCATCGCCTTCCTCTGTCGCGGTGAATACCAAAACATGTGTAGATTGAGAATTTTTTTTAAACATGTGTATTGTGAGAAGTTTTTTTAAAAACATGTGTATTTTGGAATTTTTCCCCCTAAATTTCTGCCCCATTAACTCGTTTGGTGAGCCGAGCTCGAGTCGAACTCGAGCTTTCATTTTTGCAAACGAGCATATCTCGAGCTTGCATTTCAAAACTCGTGATGAACTCGAGCTGAGCTCAAACTTGAAAATATTTTAACGAGCCGAGCCCGAACAATGGCAAAGCTCGGCTCGGATCATTAACAGCCCTACACTCTTCCTTAACTAAAATCTGGACCTTTAGATTTGAATGGGTCTAGAAAATTCATATTTAAGTGGTGGGATTTAATGGCTTTTTATTTTTCCTAGTTTTCTTAATCGGCTCTTATCTTCTTCGTTCTAATTTTGATTTCATTTTTTTTTACAGATGGAACGAGTTCGTTGTGGTCTAAAAAATGTGATCCATTTTCAATATATTTCGACAAAAGAAATTTCATACCACTCGTTAGGGGTGGGCACGTGGGTGGTTAATCCGCGGATTGATATCGATCCACCCGCAAATAACCCAACCTGCATGCAATAGGTGATTGATGTGGGTGGATTGCGGATTGTTAAATCTCCCACCTGCACTTATGTGGGTGGATGGTGGGTGGATTGCGGGTCACCCGTATGACCCGCGTCCTATTTTTACATGGAAAAATGTTATTTCTTATAGTATCGAATATTCATCATATTTTAGAACTGCACTACAGTCTGACCATATACATCAAAAGGTGGAGAATAAAGAATAGTTTTGACTACTATTATTGGTTATTGTGTTGTGCAATACCCATTGAATATTGATATGCAAATTATTGTTAATATCAATTAAATATTGGGATACAAACAATAAATTATAAATTATTATAAATGTTAGTCAATTTTCTTAATGGCTACTTGGAGAATTGCCTTTGCGGGTTAACCCACGACCCAACCGCACCTATCTGCCACCCACCCAACCCAACCCGCATAAGTATGTGGGTGGATTGCGGGTCACGTATATTCCAACCCGCTAGTAAACGGGTGGGTCAATTTTAGACCAAAATCCACTTAACACGCCCATTGCCCACCCCTACCACTCGTTACCACCTTGCTACCACCCGATACCACCTTCGTTTTTAACTAGAATTCTGAAATATTTTGCACAGATGGAATAAAAACTTTTTTATCTATTGGATCCACAAATTTATGGGGAAAAATTACAGGACTATAACGTACCACTCCATACCACCCTTATGGAGATGTGGTTAAGGCTGGAAGTTTGGTACCGTTATTAGGGATATACCAAATACCGTACAAGATTTATCACTATTTGGTATTCACGAATACCGACTCATTTTTTAGGAATTGGGATTGGGATTCATTTTGGAGTGCTATTCAAGATGACGGGATTGAGATCGGTATATACCAAAATACCGAGAAATACCGAAAATTAAAAATTAATGAAATATAGCATACAACCTTTGGTCATTCCTCACACTTTCAGAAATTAGAAGCCCCTATCCAACTCAATTTTGACTTTCCAATTTAAGTCACTCTCGTCTCTCACCTAATCTCTTATTATTTTCATAACACCAAAAGGCAAACACTAGTATTAGTCGTCTCTCAGCCTCCAATTTGTCAAATAAAAGATTACCAATGGCAAGAATTTGAGATGCCACATCTCCTCCATTCTTCTTATCCATATCTTAGCTCTAGGAAAACTCAAGAGTCTTTGCTTAGTCTCTTTACACTAAATTAAACAATCAAATATACTTTATATATTTAATTATTAATTGCCAAGGTATTAATTTCGTGTTCGATAATACCAATTGGGATATCGAAATATTTAGGGTCTGGGATTGGGATACCGAAATTATTTAGGGATTGAGATTGAGATTGATTTTAGGGTGTAATTCGGTATTGGGATACCGATATTAAGGATATACCGAATACCGTACCGAATTTGTCACTATTTGGTATTCCCGAATACCGACTTATTTTTTAGGAATTGGGATTGCGATTCATTTTGGAGTGCTATTCAGGATTACGGGATTGTGATCGGTATATACCGAAATACCGATAAATACCAAAAAATTAAAAATTAATGAATTATAGCATACAACCTTTGGTCATTGCTCACTCTTTCACAACT